GGCCGCCCCGGCCCCCGTGGGGTGGCCGCTGGCCTCCTGCTGCACACTCGCGTGGAGCGCGACCCCGGACCTGTGCTGAGGGCCGGCCCCGGCCGTGGGTGACGCACGGGCGTGTTGTGTGGAGCGGGGGCCTCCAGTCTGTAGCCTGGAACCGCGCACTTCCTGCCGCGGGTAAGGCAGTCTGGCCCTCCGTGACAGCGGAGGGAAGCGCAGCCACGGCTCCGGTGGCGGAGGGCCCAAAAGCCGAAGGAGAGCCCTGCGCGCGCACGGTCGCCTGGGAGTTCGCTCCCTGGAAGGCACCTGGGTGGAAAGCGGGAGCCATACGCTTGGGGACATTTAACACAAAAGTGTTTTCTTCCTCACCTGCAGGGAGGGGATTGATCCTGGCTCACTGAACACGGGTGGCTTTCTCTGCTCCAGCCGTCAGCCCCCCTGACTGCAGGGCCTGGGAAGGCCACCTGACAAGTAGAAGGCACTAACCAGCCAGCACCACTAGAGCCAGGTACAATTCATGGGTGCACAATTCATTGATCCCTTGTTGTTGTTGTTGTTGTTGTTGTTTTCTTTTGCCAGTCTTGGGGCTTGAACTCAGGGCCTGGGCACTATCTCTGAGCCTTTTTGCCCAAAGCTAGCCCTCTACCAACTTGAGCTACAGTGCCACTTCTGGCCTTTTCTGTTTATGTGGTACTTGAGGAATGGAACCAAGGACTTCATGCATGCTAGGCAAGCGCTAACACTAAGCCACATTCCCAGCCCTCCCTTGTTGTTTTCTGAGAAGGCCCATCTAAGAAAATAGGTTGACTTCTCACACCACAATTATAACCATTTGGGAAACAAATGTGTCATGATAATAGCTTCTATCTGTGTTTTGCTGAACAGTAACTGTATCCCACAGATCTTCTACCTTAGGAAGATTTGTTTCAGGGTGCTAGCATGCCAGCATGTATAACAAACCTTTGGAAGCCAAATCGTTTGTGTGTTGTCATTTTTTTAATCTTATGGTAAAAGGTTCGCACACAAAATAGGTGTCCTTGGACTCTAAAGAAATGTCTTTTTCTCATACCAACCAGTGTCCTGATTCTCTTACACTAACTAGTCCTAGGAATCAGGTCAGTTGACAGTAACTCCTAGAGCTGACTTCAGTCACACCAGGCAGTCCCTTCCCCTGTGCCAACCACAAATAGGGTTCCTTGGCTATGTTACCAACTGGATATTTCCACAACCCTTGCTTAGGTTCAGTAGTTCACTGGGACACTCCCAGCAGAAAGCGTTGTACTTAGTACATTAATCTATTACAAAGCTACAACTGAACAGCCCAACAGAGAGGTCTATGGGTCAAGGTCTAGAAAGGCCTGGTATAGAAGCCTCTCCCCAGGGAGGCAAGTGGGATGCCAGCTCAAGTTCTCTGAATCTGGTTCAAGGGTTTTTACTGAACCCAGTCTCCAGTCAGCTTGGCCCCTGCCTGGAGCTGGGGGATGGGCTGGAAATCCCCACCCTCTGGACACCATCCTGGTGCCATGTGATTCACACCACTGACAGACTCAAGTGAGCCCCGCACAGCTTCTCACCACAAGCTACTGCTGCCACTTGGGGGCTCCAAGGGTTCCATGAACAGAGGGCAAAGCCTAAATGTGACACAGTAGTTGGTTGCCAGATAGTGTTTTGTTCCTTCCTTTTTTGGGTCTAAAACTAGGACACTGGACCTGGATGCCTGATGCTTTCACTCATTGGCTGCTCTCTACTAACTGAGCCACACCTCCAACCCTTAGATTTTGTTCTGTGTGTGATAGCACTTTGTCTCCCATTTCCATGTAGTCTTCTGTTCAATCACTGGTACTTTTGAGTTGAATTAAATGGTTTCCAGCAAAAGTGTGGGGCCTGCCTTCAAAACAGTCTGAATGGATTTAGCAACTCCGTTGCTAGAGAACCATGAATGATAGCGCAGACATAGGGAGGGATGAGACCCCGGGCCTAGAAGGATGGAGTTCGGGAAAAACTAATCGAAAGTCTAGTTGGATCATAAAGATGAAGGACATGAATGCCAGGCTCCACCCTGAGGTGGAGATGAAGTGGGGAAGTCTTGAGTTTTGGAGCAGAATAAAGACCTGGTCCACCCTGTGCTTTGGGAGCTTTTGGCCCACCATGGAAGGTCATCTCTGTCACAGCCCAGAGACACTTCCTAAAGCCTCTCCTACCCCGAAACAACCAGGCCGAGATGCAGAGTGCACTGCCTGATGTTTGCTCTCGGGGAACTCACACCACCCTTGAAGACCCAGTTGATTGGGGGAGTCTCCATTCCCAGCTTTGTGTTTCTGGTGACGGTGGCATCCATTGGGCACTCGAAGCCAGGTCCAGTTTCTAGTATGTGACACTCCTCCCTTCCTCATGCTTTGTTGAGGTCTGTCTGCCTGCCTGCAGGAAGCACACTGCAGCGGTGGCAGGCTCAGGCGGGATGGAGACCCTGCCCATCTTTCTGTTCTGCATGTTACCCCCCACCCCTCCATGCTCCTCACAGGGGGCCAGGATGCAGGGGTCACCCTTGCCGGTCCCAGTAGCTAATGGGGAAGGCTGTGGTGCCAGGAGTGCTCTGCCCCCCCCCCCCCGCAGCTCTGTCCATCGTCCCCAGAAGGTACCAGCAGTCCTCTGCTGGAGTCACAGAAGCCAGGCCTGGCACACACCCACTCCTCCACCAGGCTCTGGTAAAGGGGGTGGTGTGGCCACAACTGCCTTTCACCAGCTCGGCTCATTGCCTACAAAATCAGCCCGCCCACACCTTTGTAAACAGTCCTTTCCTCACACCTCTTCAGGCCCCCATTAGAGCAGCCATCTGTTCCTGCCAGGGCTGGACTGTTGGCCAGTTGCTGTGTGTGTGCAGTGGGAATGAGCTACATCTGCTCTGTGTGTGTGTGTGTGTGTGTGTGTGTGTGTGTGTTGGCCAGTTGCTGTGTGTGTGCAGTGGGAATGAGCTACATCTGGTGTGTGTGTGTGTGTGTGTGTGTGTGTGTGTGTGTGTGTGTGTGTATGAGCTACATCTGGTGTGTGTGTGTGTGTGTGTCACTGCCGGAAGGGAGGGTCAGCCCATACAATAAAGCTACTGGGCCCATTGTTCCGTTGCTCTGTGCTCTAGTCCCCACCTGCTCTCCTGAAATCCAGGAAATTCTCAGCGCGAGGCAAAGCCTCCAGATGGAATGAATCGACTGAAAAGCACAAGTGGCTCAAGCAGAACGTCAGGATCTGCCTCCTTGGCTCCAATTTCCTTTTCTGTCTTTCAGAGTTTTAAGCTTCGGCTTTAGCCTTGGATTTGACTATTTAGCCAAGCAGCTGACTGCTTAGTGAGAGGAGCAGGCCAGGGACAGCTAGGATTCTGTGCAGCCTGGCAGCTTCCCTGGGGCAGTGCCTCGAGAAGTCAGAGCTCCCCAAGCAGGCAGCCAGGAGTGGCTAGGGGTGTGGAAGGCTAAGGGTTTCAATATGAAAAGACATAAGTTGGCTCAAAAAGCCAGATGGGCCACTGGATGTCCAGTGAGAGGATCTGAGAACTTAGCTTGTGCACCCTGGATCCTAGGTTTTTTCTCTGTTCCTTCTCACCACCACCGCCCCCCTTGCCTTCCTCCCCACCCCACACACAAGCATGCTTGTGCACAGTTCCAGGCCCCAGCTCTGTCTGGCAAAAGTCTTGCTTTGTTTCCAGGTCTGACTGGAACCCTGGAAGGGCTTTGTCACCCACTGAGAGGGCCAGGACAGCCACCACCAGACCAACGCTCAAAATCTGGGCTCCAAAGAGGCCCAAAGCGGGCTGGGAAGGTGGCTCTGGTAGAGCACTTGCCTTGCATGCATGAGGCCCTGGGTTCGATTCCTCAGCACCGCATAAGCAAAAAGAAAAAAACCAGAAGTGGCGCTGTGGCTCAAGTGGTAGAGAGCTAGTCTTGAGCTGAAGAGCTGAGGGACAGTGCCCAGGCCCAGAGTTGAGGCGCACGACCAGACTCTCCCCCCCCCCAAAAAAAAACAAAAAACAAAGAGGCCCAAAGCCCTGCGCAACTCACGGGGCTCCAGCTGGGCAGGCTGGGGCCAGACAAGCTGCAGCTCCAGACCAGGGAGCACCTTAGGGCAAAGAGGGCAGCCTGAGGTGTCAGGACCTCTGTCGGGAGCAGCGGACCCTGTGCAGCCTGGCCACTTAGATCCCAGCTCAGATCCCAGCTTAGAGCCTCACCTCCACAGACGGAGCTTCCTCACCTCCACAGATGGAGCCCCTCACCTCCACAGACGGAGCCCCTCACCTCCACAGATGGAGACCCCACACCATCTCTCCAGGAAGATGAAGGCCACACTGTGCTGTTGCTCATTCACTTGTTGATTGTTTGTCTCCATTATGGCCCCTGGTTCACACACACACACACACATTCAGAAGCTTCAGAGATAGGGACATGTCTGCTCTCTGCATCACTGAATTTCTAGCACATAGTCAAGGCCTGGTAGGGATGGGCTCTCAGAAATCATTGAGCGGCTGATTGAGTGAAGGAGCCTGCTCTGCTGGTGTCATGGCTCCTTGTCCAGGGCAGGAAAATCAGTGCCTGAGAATAAAGGCCCTGGGCCTGGGGACTCCCAGCTGTGCTACCTGTGGGATCTTCCAGCAAACCAACCAATCCCCCCTTTCTCTGCCACTGTTTCTCCATCTGGAGGAGAGGAGAGAGATTCCAGTTCCAACTCACAGGGTTG